AAGTAGGGGAAAACTCATCGCATTAAATTAGAGAGAGAAGCAGCAGCAGAGGGCAGAGGGCAGAGGCAGCATCTGTAGCAGTACATCCTACAACAATAACAACAACGGCTGTCAAGGTGACTTTTTGTTATTATTTTTCAATTTCTTGGTCTTCTTTTTGTTCTTTTTCAGACTTGATATCATTTTTCAAGTGCCTTACGTGGGGCTGCATGCGTATGTGTGTGTGTGTCAGTGTGTGTATGCATTGCTAAACAATATTTGATTAAGTTTTGCATAGAGTCTCCATGTTGTGTGCCTCGACAAAGAGGAACAACAGCAACATTACCACATTTAAAGTGTGCAACAAAGACAGAGTACAAGAGCAGGGATTATTGCGCACATGCGAAGAGTCGAACAAGAACACTCCATTTGAGTGCTGCGATACTGGGACTTATGTTTGCAAATAACATTTTTGAATTCTTTTAATTCCGTGCTACTAGCATGAAGGGAGCTTGTTCCAGAAGGAGATTGAATTTGCAGTCTCTTTGGCTTATCCTTTGTGTTCAACTAGAGAATACCTTCAATTAACCAACCTGCTAGTGGATTTTTAACGAATTTACTTTTGACTTGCAGAAGAAGTATTAACCGCCGCGGAGGCAGAGTAAAAAGATTTCCCTCTGCTCCAGATTTTATTTGATAGTCTTTGAAAGGCAATTCATCAATTTGACTGGCATGTGCACATAAATCAACCCAAACAAACCCATAAAAAGGCAACCGAAATGGGAAAACCTCTTCAAAGCCATTTATAGTTGTATTTACAGATGTGTGCGCGTTGCAACCAACAAAATAAACCCAATATACAATATATACAGACTGCACATATGTGGAGGTATAAAATATAAATTGAAGGGGTATGGGAAGAGGTGGATGGATGGATGGTTGGTTGGATGGATGGATGCATGTAGATTGCCACTTAACAGAAAAATAAAGTTGAGCACAAATTTTTAATTGAATGGCAGCGCATTGAAAAACTTTGAGCTGCCACTAAAATTGATTACACTCACCCGTTCACAGCCACAAGCACAGCCACACGCACTCAGAGGGCGACCGATGCTCGGAAAGTTTTGAGATACACGCAGATTGAGATATTGTGGAAATTATTGAAGCAGAAATCGGCACTCATGTCAAATGCATAACGTTGAGCTCAATACCAATCTGCAAAGCCAAAGCCAAAGCCAAACCCAAACCCACACCCAACCCCCCACCCAACTGAACTGAACTGAACTGTGTGGAGGCTGAGGCCTGTCGTTTTGCCAGCATGTTGCAATTTATTCTAATCGCTTGTCGAAGAAAAAAGAGACTGAGGCCGGAGTGGCTGTAGTGGCTGGAGTGGCTGGAGGCCCAGCGATGCGTGTAACGATGCTGCACATGAAGTCAACGGTAAACCAAAGCTGAGACCAGGCCAGAAAGGTTCCCAATTGAGTGGCGCCAATCAATCCTAGTGCCGCTGCTGTTGCCGTTGCTGCTACGGAAAAGTGTGTCAAAAGGCTTCCCCCTCTGAGCGTTAAACTCCGTGCTGGATGGAGGAACGGACGGCCAGTGGGACGGAGAAGCAGACAGACCAACTGACGGCTTGTTGTGTCGCTTATGCCACTTAATTGACGCCAATCGCATTGACTTGCACTCTCTTCCTCGTCCCCTGCCCCACCGGTTCCCTGCCTCGGCTGATGGCAAGAAAAATCACAGCTCGTTAGTGTTGTGAACATACATTTGACGATACAGATGGATGGATGGCTGGTTGGATGGGTGGCCTGTTGGAGGCCAGGGCCCAGGTACGGCACAACTCCTATTGATTGCCAGGTTTTCAGTTAGCAGATTATTAAATGCCTGTGCCAAAGCCAAAGCTGCATGGCACAGTAAGAGCAAATTGTATACTTTTTAAAGAGATTCCCTCCCTAACTCCCTCCATTCATCGCATTTACCATTCATCACTTGCACCGGGAGTTTTTCGAACCGCAAATCAGTTTAGCCACCAAATCAACAACAAGCAAAAGGAGCTACGGAGGCAACTACAAAACATGACATTCAACACGAGAACGAACAGCCCATTCCCGGATTCTACACTGCCAAGCCTCTTCCATTTTAAATCACACATTTTCGTCTGGCTCCACTGAAAGAAAAACGCACACAAAAAATAATACAAAAACTAAATTTAAATTAAATTATGGGATGTCATCGACTATTTCCGTTCAGGCCTGGCTCTATGTTCCTCTTAAAAGATTACTTCTTCAGCGAGAGCAGAATTGATCGGAATTAATGGGTATTTTTTGGGCAGTGTTCATTTTGTTAATGATTACTTGACGCCATGTTTGATTGACGTGCAACTTGGGCTGGTTCTCCCTGCCTCTCGCTCTCATTGTGTACATTTTATTATGCTCACACACACACAGATACTCAGCAGTATTCCCCCTCTTTCTCTTTCTCACTCTCTTTAACCCTCTAACTCTCTGCAGCCCTCTTTTCCTGCAGCGTGTTTCTGTTAATGGGACGCTCAAGACCGCAAGAACCACAAGGCACTTATCAATTTTTGCGCCTTAACAAAATGGCACTCAAGCGTGTCATTGTGTACGCACTTCCGTTGATATCAGAGACATATGTACACATGTATTTGGATATGTATGTGTGTCATTTCGTTGGTGTGCGTGTATTAATATTCCGTTAAATTGACATTTACATGACGGAGATGATGCCGATGACGTGTGTGTGTGTGTGTTTCTAAATGCTTGCTTGACATTTCCCCCATGGAAAATTATTCAAGATCTACAAACTCGTGCATATGTATGTAATTTATCTTCATCAGAGCATTGAGCACTTGAGAAAATCTAAGACAAAAGCACTCCTTAAGTGCCTAATGTAGTTTTGATTGCATGCCAAATTAACGCGAATAAAGACTTCCTAATTATCGCCTCATATTTTAAGTGGATTGCGCATTTTTCTATTCGTTTGAGGGACTGTTTTGCTGACCACAAATCGTGATAAACACTCACCTAAATTGAGGTGAAAATATAACTGAATCAAACTAATGAATCCTTGCCATTCAACAGTTTTATCTCGCATCAAGTTCAATCTCCTTGAGGAGAGCAATTTGGGGATTGGTCCTCTTCCTTAACACAACTGTTTAAGTGGTGCACTTTTTTGTGGGTGCTTCTGTCTGAGCGACAGACTTTTGCTCGTAATGCCCTTAGCAATTTGCTTACATTCAACTCAGCCATGTTCAAAATGGCCTACACTTGCTTGCCACTCGTGCAACGACAAGCTCTACTTCGTGTCCGTGTCCGTGTCCGTTGCGTATGTCAGCCAGTGTGCATGTGCGTGTGCCTCATGTTGTTGGATAAACCATGTAGAGTCCTTGAAAAACATGCAGGCCATAGAAGCGGAATGCCAGCGGCTGCAGAAACAACAACGAGCGCAACAAATAACTGAAATAAAAAGGAAAAGTTAACAGTTGACATAGTTTAGAGTTGCCTGGACAGACGGGCAGGACGGTAAGGACGGTTAGGACGATTAGGACGGGGTGGCCGTGCTCTCGAGGGGGCAGGGGAGACTGGTAGCGCTCAGCTTGGGTTCAACAGCCACAAGCGTAAGCCGTTGAATGCGACAGGGAATGAATGTCTTAATCAGAGAGCGGAGCTATCTTCTCATCAGTGGGGGCGGTGCACGGGGTAGAAGGGAAATTGGTGCCAAACTAAATGAATTTAATTGCCGCAGGATATGAAAGTAATTATTTTGCAGTGCATAGACACAACACAGCCAGTGGAGGGTGGCAGAGTGGGCGAGTATGGTTGCAGGGGCAGTATGGCAGGGTGACAGTGTGCCAGAGAGGCTTAGGCTAAAAACGCAATGAGGCCAAAGGCGAACCTACTTCTGTCTCATTCGCATGTTTGTTTTGGCATCGATGCACTTGCACTTAACAGCAAAGGGGCGAACCAAACGCTCACGCCCCATGCCCCACGCCTATGCCCCATATGCACTGTACCACTACAAATTGCCCCGCGGTTATTTCGAGTTGTTCTTTAATTTATTCTCTTTTATGCCTGCGCGTTCGTTGTCCTTGCCACTGCATGTGTGTTAGTGTGCTAGTGTGTCTCTGCATCCAGTATCCACAGTGTTGAGAGCAGCAGCAGCAGCAGCAGCAGCACCGAAGAGGCAGGCTCTACAAAAGCCAGCGATGTGTTACAGTTCCAATTGTCGTTGTCTCTCAATACTTTCAGCCCTGATGCTGCGTATGTGTGTGTGTGTGTGTGTGTGTGTATGTGTGCATGCATGTGTGCGTGCATGAGAGGTGGAGTGTAATACTGCTTGTTTACAAGCCGTGTTTGGGCCATGTTCTCTGCTGCCTAGATCAACGCTTCTTTCTGCTCGCTGTTGCATTGTTAGTGGCAGGACCTTGTAACACTTTCGATCAAGCTCTCGCATACTCACAAATGTACACACAAACACACATGCGAACAAATGAGCGATTCTGCCATTCAATTTCAAGTCCAATTATAATGGCTGTTGCGCCTGGTGCAGCTGGATTGATGGCCGCTTTCTGGAGTGCATGCTGACAAAAATTACAGCTGAACTCGTAAGTGCGGAACAAATTGCAAAACATATCAATTACCTATTGAATATAGGAGTTATATAATCAAAGATACAAGACTTGTTTGTGCTTACCCAGCTCACAGACAATTGTCATTAAAAAATATAGAATAAGGAATGAAAAATGGATGCTCTGCTTATGGTATCTTTGAAGCAAATGGGTACATTAATGAATTAAAATGAAGTCCACTCATCAAGCCCACATAAATATCGTTTATATTCTTTTCTTATTTATTGCTCGTATGTGTCCCTCTGATGAAATGGAATGTAGTTGTGTACCAGATAAACAGTAGAAAGAAGAGAGAAAGCCATGCAATAAAAAAAAAGTGTTCTCTATTTATATTGTTTATTCGTATTTTATCTCTAATTATATCGATGTAGATTCACTCCTGATCCTGGTCAAATTGTGGTGTCCGGACGTAAACGGGAGCCGGGTGGTTCAGGCCGTAGTTACGGACAACCTTTGGGTAGTTGGAGGCGTACTCCTGCTGCGGGTAGCTGGCTGGCTGGTATGCAGGAAAGATCTCTTGGCTGGCACGAGACCGCTTGTGATACCTGGGAGTGAACTGCCTCGGCTGATAATAGTAGCCGTTGTAGGCATCGATCACGCGACTGACATCCTCGGGGGCTTCAATCGATCGATCGAACGAACGAGGGGTATGTTTTGGTGGAGGTGGTGGTGGGTAGGGGTAAGGGGGATAGTAGCCAGGATAGGGGTATCCATAGGGTGGTTGGTAGTACGGGGGGTATCTACCATGGGACGGCGGAGGCTTTCCGTTTGGCTTTCCAGAACCTCCATGGCTTTGCTTGATGGTTTCGCCGTCACTGACGATCACTATGCAATTGACAATGGGTGTATCTGTATCGGCGTCGTCATTGTCACTATCACTGCCATCTCCGTGCCCACCGCCGTGTCCACCACCGTGATCACCGCCGTTTCCACCTTCACTGGGGCCGCCCGAAGAGGAGCCAGACTCAGTGTTCGGTTCGTACGCCACGCTGATCGATCGACTGTTCTCCTCCTCTTCTTCGTCGTACGGGTTTTTGGGGGAGATCACGCACAGAGGATGGCCTTTCTTGGAGATCACCTCCTTGGGTCCGGACCTGAAGAACGCCGGAAAGAAATTGCCAACGGCAAAGCCGCCTTTGACGCCAGCAGCCAGACCCTTGATGCCAGCAATCGGGCTGCTGAGCAGCCGGGCCTCGGAGACCATCTCCTGGCCCTGGGTAAGGTGGAGGAGCTCGTTGTACTCGGAGCGTGTCACCTGATGAAGGCGCACCAGTTGTGGACGTCTCGTGCCTGCCAAAGAAGTTGTTTGTTCAAGGAAACCTGTTCTCTGCCTCTGAGGGCTCTGTTCAAGGGACACTCACCAGCCTGTGCTGCCGCGAGGCAGAGCACAACTACTGCCAGAACTGGAAAGATCTTCATTGCGATCGCGAATAAGCTGGACTAGCTCTGCTCCCTAGCTTATATATTTTGAAAGTTGACGGCTTTCCTTGGGCCTTTGTCATTCAAATCATTTGTACATCACCACAGATGCTCATTAAAAGTTGGAGCAACGCCCTAATCGGCTGCGAATCTCCATAATTTAAACGTTAACCTAATTCTCTGAGAACATGTCCATACTCGTTTTTATACCCGGTACTCGAAGAGTGGGTATATTGTATTTGTGCGAATAACGGTTGTTATATTCTTGATCAGCATATAGACGAGTCGATAGAGCCATGTCTGTCTGTCCGTCCGTCTGTCCGTCTTATTTGTCGGCTAGTTCTCAGAGACTATAAGAGCTAGAGCCACCAAATTTTGGCTCCAGACTGCTATATGCTCACACTGAAACGAGTGTATTTCAAAAATTAGCCACGCCCCCTTCCGCCCCCGAAAAAAGGCGAAAACCTCCAAAATCTACAATTTTGAAGATAAAAGAAAACGCCATTCTGTGGGGAATGACCAGATCTATCAGATCACCAAATTGGGATCCGATTGGATCATTATTAAGCCACAATGAAGAATTTGCCCCGTCCCGTAGCTTATATTTGTTTTTTGCACATTCTCTCATTCACACTCTGCATCGCGCAGTGTGCGGCCTCTGCCGCGACTCTGTGCGATTCTAGCTTAAGAAGCGCGTTGGCGTGAGAAGTGTTGTAGATATAGATGACAGATGAAGAAAAAAAGTAAAATTTGACAAAAAAACCGCTAAGGTATAGGTTGTAGTACTGAGTACCGGGTATAAAAGTTGTGACGCGTACGAAGCGTCTCACACGTCCCTTCTCGTTTTATATATAGCTTGAATCGTTTCAGCCGTTTGTATGATAATTTTGTGTTAATGGCTTGGACAAGCTGCAGACATATCTGGACTTCGCGAATCATGGTCGATCTTGATCTTGATCAATTAGTAGGGCATTTTTCTGCTGCTAAAAGATTCTCTCAGATTCTCCACTCTACAAATTATTCTGTTTAAATGTAATCTATTTTATTTGAAAAATATTTAATTAACGTAAACCTCGTTATAATAGATCATCGACTTCTTATCATGGTCGTATTCATCCTCATCTTGCGCCTCATAGGAGTCCTCGTCTTCATCCTGATCATCGTCGGCTTCTGCTATCTCCACCTCATTCTGGGCTTGGGTCTGTTCGAAGTAGGAGTAGGGCGCATAAGGATTGGGTGAGGGTTGTCCATAGTATGGCTGAGGGTAGTAGGGACTCCCGATTGGCGGCTGCCCACCGACTGGTTGTTGTACACCAAAGGGTTGCTGTACACCAAAGGGCTGCTGCAGACCAAATGGCTGCTGTGGGGGGAAGGGCGACAGCGACTGGCCATAAGGTGGATATGGCTGTGCACCGTAAGGCTGCACACCCTCGACACCGGGGGGGCTGTAAGGGCTGTATGGATAACCACCATAAGGTGAATAGCCGCCGTATTGCGGCGGTGGTGCTGGATAGCCAGCTCCATATTGGCGGGGCACTTCGTAGCCATCCCGAAAGCCGTTTGTCGTGAATTCACCGCTAATGTTTTGTTTCTTCGACTTAGACCTAGATCTTTGGGGAGCTTCGGTGGTTATCTCCTCGTCCACTTGCTCCTCCTCTTGCTCCTCCACTTGCTCCTCCCCTTGCTCCTCCACCTGCTCCGCCACCTGCTCCGGCACCTGCTCCGGCACCTGCTCCGGCCCCTGATCCTCCATCTGCTCCGCCACCTGCTCCACTGTCTCTCCTACGGCTGCTGATGCCACTGGAGGAACTAATGCCGTTTGAGGTGCTGTCTCTTGAGGAACTACTGGCGACTGGTACTGATCTGGGGTAGACTGCTCCAGATCATGTACCTTTTTGAGCACCACAATGCAGTTGATGGCAGACTCCTCCTCGTCTTGGTTGTTGGTGGATGAGCTCCGGGGAGAGCCCTCCTCCCTGGGCGCATCCTCCCTCGTCTTGATCACGCACAAGGGCTGGCCATCGAAGTCGACCTTTTGATCCTCAACGGTCTTGCTCAGCGTGGTGAGCCCCACGATCCGCAGCAGAGAGTGCCAGCCGGAGCTGAGGCTGTCGCCGACCGTGGCAAAGCCACCGTTGATCAGCCGCGCCTCGGATATCACATTCTTGCCCCGGGTAAGCTGGAGAACCCTCGCGTACTGCTCTGCGTTTATGCTGTAGACACGAACCAGCTCCTCCGGCCGGCTCTTCTTACTTCCTTCAGTCGATGGAGATGGGGCTGTGAAACGAGAGGTTTATCCACGTTGAAGGAATATCAGAGGAGAGCACACACCTGCCTCTAGACTTGCGAAAAGACCCAGCAACATCAACAGCGGCAGCAGTGCCAAACCTCGTTCCACCGAAAGCTGCAGCATGTTCTAAGATCTGGACGTGAGACGGACTAAAATGTGTTCCCTAGTCTCTTGGTTATTTATACATCGAGTCAAGAACGGTAAACAAACAGAAAATCTCCCCCAAAATGGATCGGACAAAAATTGCAATTAAATCAATCTTTGACGGACAGACAGCAGCAAGCGGAGATTCATGGCAACTGCCAGTCGGTCCGTCGAATTTAGTTGAATAATTTAGTCAAATGTGAGACACATTTTTGGACAAATTCGAGTCAATGAACTACGAGTAAGTAGATGAACCGGTTGTTTCTGTTGTTCATCAGTGCCTCTATGATTAAAATCAAATCGTTAAAAGCCCCATTAGGGGAGAGTAGACCCAGAAATAGAAAAGCTCTGAAATTTATTAAATTTTCTAAATCATAATTTTATTTCATTTCATTTTGTTGTGTCTTTGTGGTTGGTTGTGTGGCTGTGTTTTAGATTCCTATCTGTTGATGAATATGTAGATACACACAGACAAGTACACATGTACGGTATGTACGGGTATATAGAGTACCTGGTTTATATGTAGATATATGTATGTACTTATATAGTTGCAATGCATCTCGTATTTTGCTAGGTTTTCGTTATTGTTTGCACTCAGGGGACAGACCTTAGCCTAAACATCTACGGCAGCGGCACCCTTGGGTGTGGAGTCCGCGTCTTTGTTTGGATAAGTTCAATGCCAGCTCTGATAATGCAACATCCATTCATTCTATATACAATTTGTATGTGGTTTAGCCAACACTCTTTTCTCGCACTATGTGAGCTGTGTGTGTGTGTGTGTGTGTTTTTCACTGAATTTTCTGGTTCTCTGGATAATAAAGTTATGTTTTATGTGTGTGTGGCGGTGTATGAAAATTTGGATTCACTGATGTGCCGCTTATAGACTAATCGAATCGTACTCGTGTTATTCGGTTAACAGTTAATTAAAATTACGTTTTTTTCTACTAATCAACTTATTTACACTTCCCCTGCACTGTCCACTCGCACCGTGTTCGCTTTCGTATCAATTATAATTGATAATTATCAAGCGATACACACAATTATCCATTGCATTTAATTTTAAAGTTCTTCTCTTATTTTTGCATTTATTATTTAAGGTTTTGCTTGCTACCATCCCTTTCGGTTTTATCCAAAACTAATTATGTACAATTAAACGAGTCTCTCCGGCAATTGGGTCCGTCATAAACAAGGCGTTTCGTTTCCCCATAATGTTCGAGTGCTGGACGAGTGGAATTAAATGTTGCCCCACGCGTGGCTTATCGGCTTACCGGCTATACATACAATACATGCTCGTGCGAGTACGAGTGCTTATCCATAGCCAATACCTAAAACCGATAAATGTGCAAAGCAACTGAGAGCATTATTTGAAAATGAAGTAATCGGATGAGTGTTGCTTTGAAGTACTCTTGGGTAACTCTCTTGAATGGCAATTATTTACAGCAGATTTCAATCGATTTCAATCGGCCTACAGAATGGTGTATATGTGTGTGTGTGTGGGCTTATTGGCAGTAAGAGATTCCATAAAGGGAAAGGGGGAGGTTCAATGGAAGAGCTCTCCCCGCGGGGGGCTCGTGTTGGTGTTCGGATCCGAAGCATATTTATAGCTAGTAAGTCTTATTTCGTAATGAGAGAGTGGGTGTATGAAAGCTTAGCTATGGGTGTGCCGTCGACGATCTGTCAGCAGTGATCGGTAGCCGCTGGTCTGATTACAAGTTAACGATTACTCAACGATTCTCTACACTCAATTCGAGAACAAATCACGTTTAGATACTTCAAAAATATGTCAAAACAGTCATCGATAAGCGAAAAGGGCGCAACAAATATCAGTTTACAGCAATTTTAAATGGATTGTTTTCTAGTTACTCATTTGAAATGTTATATCGGTATTTATTAGTTTTTATCGGTATCGAATCCCTATTTCGAATACGAAGTATCGATCGCTGCGGACATCGATCACTGGCCAACAAAATCATAACGAATCACACAAATATTAATTAGTATTACATCGACTCTTGTTTATTCTCTTTAAACATTGAACTAGATTATGATAATCCACGGAAAATGCATAGGTTTTCCTCGTGCCAGCTCTGGCTCAGGGTTTCCCAGCCTTTGGCTTACTTTCCCTTCAGCTTCCCTTTCCCCTTGGAATGTTGCTATAACGTCACATATCGTCGGATAATATGTTTTTTCGTTTCCACTACGTGCACTCATCGCCTTAGACATTAATAAATACTTTTTCATGAGCCAACAAACCCCAAACTGAAATCACCTTGAATGTGGGCGTGGTGTGGGTATGTGGGCTGGCCCTAATAATCCTCTGCTGATTCCTGTTTTGCCTCATCGGCGTGTTGATTATTCAACATTCATCTCATGCATTGAGCCGCCGCAGGGCGTGCTCGCAACATGTTTCCAGTCACTGCAGCTGCTGCTGCTGCTGCTGCTGCTGCTGCTGCTGCTGCTGCTGCTGTCGTTTGCGCCGTGACTCCTCGTGTTCCTCTTGTTTTCAGCACTGTACGCCGCGGGAACTTGAGTCGCGTACCCGTGCCCGTACCTGTGTTCGCCGTTGTAGAGACATATCCACTCCCGGATTCGTACCACTGCTGCAGGCAGCAAGAGACAATGCTAAGCAGCATGCAGCAGATGCCGCAGTAAAAGCTGTTGCTGTTGCTGCTCGAGTTGTGTTGCATGGCCGCCGGGTGTTCGCCTGCGCGAAAAACAAACAAAGAATATTACACATGGGAACAATTGAGAGGGAAAGTTTATCGGTTAATTGGTGATACAATAAGCCAGCCAGGCACAAAGCAAAACCCGCTTCCGCCCCACTGATTGCCACAGACAAAAACTCCCACACACACACACTCCCATTTTTTTTATATTTGTATTCCCTTCCTGTTTGCCCCAAAGAACAACATGAGGCTGCTCAAGTTGTTACAGTTTCCTATGAGCTCACGAGCACACAAGTTGCTTCAATAAATCTGACAGGTCTCCCTGCTGCGCTGAGAGCACCTCTTGTTATTGGCCCGAGCACTTGCCGCAAACTTTTCCTTTAGTTAAAGCTGCAGCTGCAGTTAGAAAATAATTTCCATGCTGCTGCACAAATAGATTCGGGTGGAAGAGGCGGAATCGGCTGATGCCATTCCCTTTCAATTGCTGTAGTCGGAACACTCTCTCGCTGTCGATATGCTCATCTAATTTAGCTAAACCCAAACAGTTCTGATCTTGAATCAACAAAGTTAAAAGATGCCCCCGGCTATATGTAGACCTTGTTTTCCACCAGTACCTGTAACTGGAAAATTTGCATGCTGATTTTGCATGCACTGCCCCAACCGGCCCCGCTTTGCAATTGGCAAAACAAATTGCGAATGCAACTTCCACTTTCCGTCATAAACATGAAAAACTCTCTGACAACACAGGCACACAGATGCACACATGGCTATGGGGGGGGGGGGGGGGAGTTGAACATGCACTACCCATACACATACACTTACCAATAATTACGTGCACATAGACGCTCGAGGTTTTCGCCACCGTGGGCACACAGGTGTAGTTGCCAGTATCGCCGGGCATGGCGTGCTTGATTTTTAATCTGCTTCGCGGAGAGAAACGGACAAGGGAAGAAAAAACGAGAAGAGCAGAGAGAAACATAGAGAAAATGAATGTCAGCGGGACATGGGAATGCAAGTGAAATAAACGGAAAAAACGTTAAAGGGCTGCAAAAAAAACTAAAAAAAACTTTTCCTACTTTATGGCATAATGTGTGTCGAGCTGCCGCCTCCACCAGGACTGGCTCTAATTCCCAGTAACCCTACCATAAGCCCTCCTTTTACTCTCCCTCGCCAGCTCCTTTTCTCTTTCTGTCTTTTTTTTTTAAAGTCTTTCCATCTCTGTCATCCGCACCTGCATTTTATGGTCGTCTGGGCCGTTAGTTAACAGCATAAATGGGCAATGATCAGGGGCCCTGCAACGAGAGACGAAAAACTAACTACTGCAGCCATGACGCTTGCTCCTAACCTGATTCTGACTCTGACTCTGACTCTGACTCCGTCTGTGAGTCGTCTCCTCCTCTGGCTCCGATTTTGACTTCATCTATGGCCACTGCTCTGACTTTCACTAAAGCAAATTAAAAGTCACACACGGCTAACTCGAGAATCCTTCGGTGAGAATGAAGTGAAAGCTGAACAGCCCTGCTACGATAATACCCTGGCAAGAGAAGCTTAGTGGCATAGTTAGTCTCTCAGAGAGACTCACAGTAAATGAAAAACTATACTTTTGGGGCACAAGATACCTCTGAAAAAATGGATTGAATTTCCATTAGGTTTGCGCTTTAATGTTCCTCCTGCAGATACTACAAACATTTCTTTTCCGAAATATGCGCACCAATCGAATGCCTAAGTTATTTAGACTTCCAGTATCAACACCAAACCAGCATCCAAGTAGGACGAGTAGTATCTGCTTTGTGGACACTGATGTCAGGTCCAGGCCAAACCCAGCGTACCCCTCGAAAGAACCCTGTTTGCACTACAATAGAGAGACAGTGCTGAGAGAGAGCTCAGCCCAGACTGTCCTTCGCTTTGGCCTTAAAATGTCATTCAAAGTAGGAGTCCGTGTCCCCCCCGGCTGCAGGCCTGGTTGGGCTTTAGCTCTGGCTCTAGATCTGACTTTACCTCTGCCCTTAATTAAGTGAGGCGGCATTTTAATGCAAAATAACTGAAATACTCGTCGTAGGTAAAGTAATGACGGGAGAGTCGTTACATACCTCGAAGTCAGCCCGTCCGACCAATCATCCTCGACGCGGATGCGTGCCATGGAGCTGTCGATTTCATTCTCGCCCTTGCCGTCGAGCATTTCGCTGCCTGGAATGCGAAGAGTGCAAGAGTAAGCAAATTGAATTGTGTGAATGAGGTGCGGATGCCATTCCACATTATGCTGCTGCGACAGAGGCTCATTACGCATACGCACCTTTGTACCAGAATATGTTGCCCAGCTCATGGGGTCCCTGCATAATTTTACAGGTTAGGTTAATGTCGCTGCCAGTCTTCACCATCAGATCGCTGGGCCCAAAGATTTCCGCCTTGAGTTCTGCAAAATAAAACCAAAAAATAAAGGAAAAGCCGAAGCGTTAGACAACGAGAACAAAAAGTCACTTAAGTTGCCAACAGACAAAAGCAGTTTCCGTCTCGTAACAATGATAATAATAATAATGTTAATGATAACGTCCAAGTGCGCGTTTTTCTGTATGCGAATGTTACTGTATGTGTGTGTGTGTGTGTGTGAGGGCGGGAGGGAGGAGGTTGGGCATAGGCCCTACTTTATTACACAGACGCGTGTCTCTATTATGCTGGCGATAAGCTTTTGTTATGCCATATAAAAGACAGTCATACGCCCCGTGCTCGTACTACCTGCACTTCCTTTTTACTTATGTTGCCTTCTGCTTTCAGTTGAGTTCCCTCTGTCTCTCTCTGTGGAATTCTCTGAGATGAATTTCGTTTGCTACTTTCTATTCCATCTGGAGCCAAAATCAAAATGTCAACATTGAAGTGCCTTTTGTTGTTCCCAGTGTCAATGATTTCAATTGAGAAATATACTCGTGGACGGCCCCAAATGAGATTTTTTCCTTAAAGCTTATGACTGCTGACAGTTGCCTTAATGGAAAAACGTCTCTGGCATCGACTTTCCCCCTTTTCCTCTAATGCAAGTGCTCAATAACAGCGAAGAGCAGACGGCGAATGGCGAACAAACAGCAACTCTTCCATTGCTGTTCCACTTTCACTCTCTGCGTGCCTCGTAAACTGGCAGCAGGAAAAACTTTCGCAGGCCCTAAACAACCGCAAAGCCCGTGGAAATAAATTGCAGCAAAGGAGGGCATAGGCTGCAGAGAGCATAGGGACTGGGATTGCAACTGGAACATCTGTACATGGATACTCCTGCGGCATATACACACACACCACACGCATTGACGTGGCTATGCTTTGCTGTGGGTGCTGCCATTCAATCGTGTGGCAAAACCGAGTGAAAAAAACAGTTTTGAAAGCTCAATAAAAACCTTTTGACGCTGGAGGAATATGTAGCAAAAGTGTTTCATACTTTGCATGAACTCAAAAGAGGCGCTCTGCATGCCCATGCATGGGCGCTGTTGCCAATGGGTATATGGATTTAGAATTAAAAACTGAAACTAAAGCTTAGTGTGCCAATACGGCATTTTTCTCCATTTTCAACTGCCCCAAAAGACAAACAGAAAATTCGATTAGCAGGCAGCACTCCATGAATTCGCATTAAATTTTTTTTTGCACTTTTGCCTTTAAATCAGGTGTGTCTCTGTGTGTGTGTGCTGGTAGATCTGACTGGGTCCCAAAAATGTTAATCTAAATGAAATGCCAAGTGGAAAAAGTAATACACATCCTCCTCGAAACAAAGAAGAGCGAACAAAGGCAGAGCAAAATGAAGGGGAGAACAAACCCCAAATGGAATTCGAACACGCTGGACGATTATCTGGCTGTTTTATAGACCCGCACTGGAGTCGCTTCGCTCCACTCTAGAGAAAAGCGCTGAGTATGGCACAATGTTGTTCTTGTTGCTGCTGTTGCCCCAACTCCGTGGCAACTGCTGCTGCTGATGGTTGTTGTACCTGGCAAAACAATTGTGGCAGCGAAAGCTAACCGTCTATGACTTCTGGCAACGGCAATGGGAAGGGCAATGGGAATCGGAAGGGGAATGAGAACCCCAACAAAGGACGGACAGAAGAGAAATGGCTGGGAAAATTATTGCCGCACACATGCAGCTGACAACGCGCCTGTGGTTCCCACGAGAGGCGCGGGTGCTGTGGCAGGGTGTGGTTGGGTCAGGTGTGAATGTTCATATGTATGGGCAAGCCCGCATGCGGCAGATATGGCTCCATCTCTCGACTCGACTCTGGCTCTGGCTATGGCTCTGGCTGTGGCTCTAACTCTGGCTACGGCCCGTTCTGGTGCCTAATGCCCTCTACCTGCTGACAGGGAATACAAATTCGAGCATTTTGCTGCACGGATACGGCAACGACCACGACGTGCAGTGGCTTGGATCTCCCCGCGGAAATTGCTTATTTAACTATAATTAGATTAAGTGTTCCTGGCAATTGGCGAGCTGCATTATGAATGAGGAATGAGCAGTGGCCAGCCAATCCAGTGCTAGGCCGGAGCTATGTACACCGGCAGCTGTTTGAAGTTTTCATTAGACTTGGCCACAGTTGACCCAGGCCGAAAAAAGTTGCAAAGTTGTCTACTGCTGGCCGCATGCCAAAGCTAGAACGAGAGGCACCAAGACTCCCTCTGTCTCCCTCTCTGTGCATGTGTCTTGTTCTGTTCCTGCTCCTGGATCTCATGGCAAACAAAGCCCTTACTGAGTCTTGTTTACACACGAGTCGGGACGAGGCCCAGGCAGAGAAGCAGGGCTTGGAATCCATTTTTGTGCAGCCGCAGCAGAAAGCGCAAAATGGGAACTTGGAAAGATGAGCAAAAGGAGGAGAAGGAGCAGAATGCATTTCCATTTTTCTTGATTTCGCGCATAAAATGCGCATAAGCCTATATGCCCATAAACATTTAGAGCAATGAACTTTGCACAACTTTTCAGCCCCCGACATGGCATAGTTTTTGGGGCCAGACCGAGGACCATTACCATTGCAGCCTTGCTCTCGGGTATCCTCACTCTCACTGCTGAGTGCTATGTGCTGTGGGCTGTTGCCTCCTGCCTGGCTGTACAAATTTATTACCCTTCGGCTATGTTGATGCATGTTTGCACACATGTAACAAGAACTGAGTATTTATTGCCCGAATAACCATTCCGAACTGGGGCGCAACGGATCTTCGGGCATGAAAGTCTTTAAATTCTGGCGGACAATTAATCGGAAACGATTTTTTGTGGCACTCCAATTGCTCGGAACTAATTGTCAAATCAAATAAACAAATTCAATTTGTAAAAGTCAGCCGCATTGCCAGCAGCACAATTGATGAAGCATTTGTGTATCTCCTCCTCTTTAGACGAGAATCCACTTCACTTCACTCCACTCCACTCCATTCAGTTCTTATTTGCCTGTCCAGATCCGATTCTCAATCCCAGTTCCCCTCCCATTTCCGCCCACGCCAGCAATGGCAAAATGAAAATGCCCAAAACATCATCATCATGGGCCAAGCCCCCGGTTCCGAGCCTATTCAGTATCCCCCATTGTTGTGATTATTATTATTATTAATAATTCGACGATGCTGCAGAGACATTAATCATTTCCTCCTCCCTATGCCTCTCCGTTTCTGCCTCTGCCAGCCATTCCTCTGTGCAATATCTCAGTAATTTATCATTGGGGCATTTTTTGGTCTAGGCATTCGCCAGAGAATGTAATTTGAGAAGCAAATCAACGAAATGGGAAGTAAAACATTTGATTGTCCAGCAAATTGTCCGGACCAGCTCCTTCTTCGGCTGCTGCTGCTGCTGCTGCTCTTGGATTATGCAACACAAGTATTCATAAAAACTCATTATCCCCCTTTGCGCCATTTCAGACTCAAGTATTCTCAAAGTGGGAAAGACTCTACCCGAAAGCTAGTCAATTTATTTTCTAGTTTTTGGCTGGGCCTCTTACCTGCTGGCAGACATAAATCCTTCAGCTTGCAAGACAATGGGAAATGGATTTAGGCTGCCAAAAGTGTCTGCAGCTCGATGCATCATCAAAATTGGCAGCAAATTCTCAGCTGTAAAATTTGTATCTGTATTTCAGTAGGCCGCAATTAGGTGCTCATTCATGGGATCGCAAGTCTTTTGCGATACAAAAAATAAGTTTTTGAGTAGGGAAATGCCGGCTAGGTAATCGGATTTACCAGTGATTGGTCCTATTTTGCTCCAGCATGATATGCTGTCATGCAGGAAGTATGGAAAATGAAGCAGGGACTTCTCCTAGCTCTGGCCAACGCTGGGGCAAGGGTGCTCTGGATTATTACTTGCGCTTGATTGCATGCAATTTGCCGGCTGCTAATGTCAACAGCATCGCAGTGGCGTCTTAGGACATGCTCAGGAGCAGCGTAGGGAGCATGAGTAACAGCGCCAGCAGAGTGTTGCTTTATGGAGCCCGAAATGAGCCATCTACTTGGCATCTTCATCTTGCCAGCCACGTATTCAAATTGCCTTCAATCTCTCTCTCTCTCTCTCTCTCTCTCTCTCTCTCTCTCTCTCTCTCTCTCTCTCTCTCAGCCGCTGACAACTGCAGCCTTTTCTCTCTTCGTTGGCTTTGCAATTTGTTTTTCACTTTCCCTTCAAGTCGCTACCCCAACTCTTCCCCTTCCCCATTCCCCGTTCCCCTTCCACAATCCAAATCACCCTTGACTAAGGAAGGTAGCGCTTACGCTTGATTACATTCGCTGCTGGTAAACAAATTTTTCCAGAAACTCAACAACACCTTTCTTTTTCTTAATGCGAGTATACTCTACCAGAGAGTACTATGACTTTGTTAATGACTTGATTGCAAGCAAGATAAAAGTTCCATCTGGCTGACAGTCGTACTCCTATGGCTTCACAGAGTAAGAGTAAAGAGCATCAAATCTTTCGGCTATCTCTTCTCTCTTCTGTTTGGTCTCTCACTATGTTTGTCCTTGTCCTTGTCCTGGTACTGTCACTGTCACTCTGCCAGCGGCTGTCGCTCGGCTTGAGTGGGAATGGGACTGCGACTGGGACAGGGACAGGGACACATAATTTAATTTTCAATTTGCTCACTTTATCAGCACGTTTGGTAATTTGCCTTAAATTCAAAATTAAATCGAGGACGGGGCAACAACTCAGCGTCGACTCCAGCTATCTGGCTGCATATAAACATGCCCTCCGATGTGGCACCTAGGTGGAACTCCCTCGCTGGAGTGGAGAACATAAAGTTTGTAATTTAAGCAATTGGAGCGGCTGCTGTTGCATTAAAATGTCAAAAATATGGCTGCCTGGGCGGAAGAGGAGGCCCACCACAGAACTGCTGGCGGGGCGGGACAGAGTCGTCGGAGGCGATTTATGTTTATGATGCGCTGGTCAGCCTGGCGCTATTTTGTGTATCATTCGTGGAGTCTTGCCCTTACAGTCTCCTCCCCCATGCCCCTGTATGTGTTTCCGACCACTCACTCCTCTGGCTGACGGGCGTGTAATAGAATTTCAGTGGCGGCGAAAAGAAGCTGTATAAGAGCGAGGGGAAAAATGGCAAAAAAAAAAAAAAAACAAAAACAAATTTATGGAATTTTTAGTGCAATTTTTTATTTGCATAAGCGCATAAAAAATTTCTGGCATAACAACAAACTTGTTTGCAGCACGGCAATAGCAGCAGACCGCACAGTGGAACCACTTAATAGTGACAATAGAACATTAGTGGCCCCACACGCAATTAGAGCAAAGAGTCGAAACATCATCGAATGAACATCGAACAAATGGATAGAGACAAAGGGACAAAACAAGACTTACTCTTTTGCTGCTCATTCAATTTTATGGAAATGGTTAAATTTAGCTGCACATTGCAGGAAAATGCCGTTTTAGAAATAGCCTTTGTGAAGTATATTTTAATGGATCCCCTGTCTGGGCGCTTATCACACTGCTAAAAGCCCGTTGGCTCCCATTAGGTGTACAAAATCAATGGAGTTTCCCCTGTGGCGGAGATCTGTGCACAGACCACTGTGCAGCAGCAGCAGCAGCACCACCACCACTGGACCTGCTGTTTGCTGTTTCCGCATGAGTGGCATGTCGAATATTTTACTCGTGCGAGTACGTATGTACATTTATATGCACACTTCTTTTTGGGCATTCAAATGAGTGCGAACGTGGAGAGAGGGAAGCCAGCATGGGCACAGTTGTGTGCACCAGTTTGGCAGTCATTTGCATTTCCGCAAATGTAATATTTATGACTTCTATGTGTCTCTCTACCCATGAGTGGGTCTAGCTGGATGCCGGGTGTGTCAGTCTGTCAGAGGTCTTCTGTCTTCTCCTGTTGGTTTAGTATGCGTGTAAACTTATATGCAAAGCTCTATGTCTCACTCGTATTCCAGCCACCCCACTAAAAGATTCATAACCGAGTCAGGGCTGACCAGAGCATTTTATGCTGCCCCAAAGTCGCTTGTGTCCGTGTGGCTAAAACAACATCCACACACAAACACTTTGGGCTGTGGGGTTGCAAACTCAGAGATCAAATAAGCTCATTGAGGGCACTCTTCCGCACCAGAAGTTTTTAGCTAAATGCATTTTGCTAATACGAATTTCTATAAAAATGCACCAAACATGCAACAAAGGTTTGCGCACAGTTGCTCTTATGTGGAGTGCTCCCAAGGATCTTCCAAAAGGCCATACAATCATCCATCCATGCAGAACTGCTGACAAGGCACCAGGGCAAGACACACTCTGTGTGTGTGTGTGTGTGTAGAGTCGTGTTCATGCTCTGCCCCCGAGTTGAGTGCAAACTAATTACAGAACCCAGAGGTAAGTAATGTCCATAAAGAGCTTCCACATAATCGCATATCCCCTTAACGGCAGAAGCAACAGCAATGGCAACATCTTCAACTGCTCGGCAAGCCAATTTGCACATAATCGAATTGAAAATTTTATAATCACGAGCACGAAGAAGATGCCCCAGAAGCCAGTTAAATGCGGGCCACACACGTGGCAGAGATTCAGAGATGACGAGAGAGAGTGAGGGGGGGAAAGGAAACTACAGATTGCGAGACACATACATATAACATGCATATTGTATGGCTTCCTTAAGCTCCGGTCCGCTCCGCTCTGCTTCGAAAATGTGCCTGGCAAGCAGGAACTTCCCAAGTACATGTAATAGTTGTCGGGATGAAGCATTCTCTGGTAACACATAAAAGTAATCACTTCGGTGGTTTGTGACCAGTTTTGAGAGTGTCCCCCCCCCCCCCCCCCCAGCCACCCTCCTCTGTCTCACTATCTCTTAGGCGTATCCTTTCGATTGGGTGTTTGGTAATGGGCAAAGTTCTGATTATAATCAAGGGGAGGCACACATTTTAACCATAATATTATGCAACAAATTTGTTCCTTAACGATACTCATGCACTCTGGGTGGAAAAGGTATGCTCTAGTGCATTTGAGAGGAGCATCAAATGGAACTCACCCACAACATTGAAGGTGTACGACAAGGACATCTTGGGCTCTGTGTTGATTTGGCACTCGTAAACACCCGAATCCCGGGGCTGGGGATACTTTATTTGTAGAGTCCAATTAGCCGATCCATCGGGTCGCAGCACCTATGCATACACAGAGAGGAGAAAACATTGTAGTCCAATATCACTCACCGTGATCGTGTAGAAACGCTCACCTGGAAACGCTGATCGGATGTGTAGGTTGTGCCGCCGGCGGTGAGTATATGCAGATCACGTTTTCGTATCCAGGAGACCTAGAACGGGAGCAGAAAGAGCAGAAAATGGCCATGAAGTGCTTTCCTCAGTTGCATTGCTCACGCCTCGCCGAAACGAAACTTCCCCATGCGGAGAACATTACAAATTCCGCACTTAAAAGTTTTTCCCCTCCCATGTGTTTGCTTCTTTCTTTTTTCTTTGTTTCTTTGCGGATTGTGTCTGCCGCTGTTGCTGTTCACACCACTTAAAGGAGTGGCATGGGGGGCAGACACAGGAAGTGGACGAGGATGAGGTGGGTAAAATGAAAAACAAAGCGTAAAGTTTTCTTTTCCGTTCAATTTTTCTTGTTGCCGCTTCCCGTTTGCCGCTTGCCGCTTGCCGCTTACCCACTGCTCGTGGCTCTGGTTAATCTTTAACATTTTGCTTTTTGTTTCAGGCATTTAATCAACAAACAAACAACGCTCAGCAGAACAAAACATGGACGCCAAAGTATGGACAAAGGAGGGCGGGGCGGGAGTACAACCACGAGAAGTTTCCGAGAATAATCCGTGTACATTAGAGCATGAAAGGAGCAGCACGCGTATGCGCCACGTTGTCCGGAAATGAAAGACGCTCTCAGGGACCGACATATAAAGTGGCCCTAACAATTGACAACTCTTTAAGCCAGACAGGCGACTAGTTGAAAGGTCACTCAGCGAGTCAGTCGGATGTCGAATGTCGGATGGCGCCGAAGCTGCCTGCCTCAGCGCAATTTCCAATTGTTTCAAATAGCCTTCAATCCTTTCGACCAAAGTGGAATCGATTGGATGGGGAAATGCTGGGGGGGACTGGCAGAATCGAAAGAAAGGCAAGCAAAGAGACAGCTTTGACGCCATTTTCAGCCTTTATTTGGAAGCATTTTTATTATTCCTTGAATTACATTTTCATTTGATTGCCCAGCGCCTTGGCCTTCGCCTTCGCCACCGCCATCGTCTTTGCCCCTAGCTGGAAAATCTTTTGGGTAAAGCCATTAACCATGATTTTGTGTGTCTCTCCCCGGACTGGGCCGAGATTTCGTTTTGTGCTGCCGGGCAGCGGCATCGGCAGCGGCATCGGCAGTGAGCCCTGGCACACTTTTGTGTGTCCTTTTCGGCACATTGTTGCCAATTTATTTGATGACCTTAGTTCTTGTTGTTCCCGTTGTTCCCTGCTATTGTGATACTCAATTTTAATTACATTGCAAAAGTTTTTTCGGCAGCCCCGTCCCCCGTCCCCCGTCACCGTCTGCCCTGCTATCACTGTGAACTTTAAATGTTTGCTGGCTGTCAACATTAAAGTTGAAAATATGCTGCCGCTGCCCTGCCTCATTAATAAAGTTAATTGCTTCGCCCCTTGGGATTGTGCCAAAAGCCAAAAGTCATCTTAAACGTAAACCATTAAACTATGTGCGAAATTGGGACTCGGGTGCCGAGGGGCTGTGCCCAAAGGATTGGCCATCTAATAAATTCATTCGATCCGGCATCAGCAGCCATTGCAGGCGGGTCACGTAATACGTAAAAATAAAAATCATTCGCTTGTAAAACTTTTATGTCGCTGTCGCTGTCGCTTTTATGCCCATAGGCGATGTCCTGGCCCGCCCTGGCCACGCCAGATGTAAATTAAATCGCTCAAATCCTGGCTATCATTGTTGTGCCACCAAGCCCTGCGCACAGATTTACCCATTTTCATTTCATTTCGTATTGCGTATGAGCGATGCCATAAAGTGAGCTCGAAATGAACTGCTAAAAAGGGATGTGGCACACACTAAATAACTATTCGAATGGCAACTCAATAGTTGCAGCGACCATTTTAGTCCAAACAAAGCCCTGCTAAGGGAAGGTCCTGCGACAATTTGATATGCCAGGCCAGTGCTGCTGGGCCGCAGTTAAATATTTCGTTTTGTCGCTGGAAATCAAAAGTGAAAAGTTTTCCAACTCCAGCGAGAAGACGGGGCCATAAGCTCAGGTAAAGCCCGATCCCCTGTCAAGCTGGATCCCCAATCGCCGAGTTGCTGAATTCCCATGAGTGGAGGGAAACTTTACTCTGGGTATAATTTCCGTAATGTCTTTAGGTTTAAGTAAATACCACAAGCATAGTTTTATATTATTTAACACTTTGTGTTCGTTGTGGCTGAGCGCTGTGCGGCCAAAAACTTTCGCTTTGCCTGTGCCATGCTGCTTCTCCTTTGACTACTCTAACTCTAACTCTGACTCTTACTTTCCTTTTGTTTTTCTGTCATCTAAGAGAACTGTAAAATGAAAGAAGTTTCCGCTGTTTGTGTGTGTGCATGTCAGTTTGGGCGAGCGTGTGGAAAACTTGGCGAAAATACATTAAAAACTTTGCTGACGCATTTTCTGCGTCTCTAGCCAAGAGAGACTTTGGATCCGACCCCACTCGAAAGAGCCAACAAAACAAAATAGTTGCAGCTGCAGTCGCTAGTTTGTTGCCGCTTGTCCCGATTTGTCCGAGCTTAGGAAATGGTGCGAAAATGTACGGAAAAGCGACTCCATCCCGATACGCATGCGGTGCCTGAAGGAGATTCCAATTGGCAAATTACTTCGCATCCACTTAATGAACTCGAAACAAATGAAATTCTTCAGCATCCACCAAGGGCGACAGTTGCCAGATGAAGACTTCAATGGCAACTTTTTTGTAGCAGCACTTATTAAACAGAGTTGTAAACAGATTTTGATTTGTTTTTGTTTCCTTTTTGCTTGTGTGTTGCTTTCAGGGCCTCTCCCTTTATTGTGTTGTTTTGCTGTGGAATGTCTGCGTTCGGGGTACGGGCATTAAAAAGGGTTCGCTGCCTTTTCAGAAGGCCTAAAACTTTGTTTAATATACGTTTTTTGGCGCTGCTGCTGTCGGTACAACAAGAGTAAATTGCTCGTGCTCATGTTCGCTGATGTAGCGCCATGGATGGAGAGCGTTTATGAAAATGTTGGCACTGGCGGCACTCGGTGCGTAATAAATCAACAGTGAACGGACAATCCTGTGAAGTCAAGTTGAACAAGCGGATTCCGCGCCAGCTTCCGGCAAGGGCAGCAGCCAAAAAAAATAAAAAATCGAAAATTACCAAGAACTGAGTGGGAGTTGGGCACCCAGTTGACATGGTAATATCGGACCACCGCCCACACAGCCAACTGAGATGGAGGGGGGGGGGCCCTGGCTAACGAACTAACGGCACGGGCATAAATTAAACTCCGCCTGGGAGCGGAGTGGCGCATAATGGAAGCCAAGCGCCGGCAAAGTTGCTTGCCGTAACTGTTACACTTTCAATTTTAGGTTTATGGCTGCAGCCTTGTACTAGAGCACAGCGGAGGGACCGGGCGCAGGACTGGGTGCCAGTGGAAAAGGGAAGGCTGCTCTGGCATGTCTTCGTGGGCACTGACAGGGCGCGGTTCCAGTCTGTCAATTACAATTAATGTTTGCGACTTGGCCCGGAGACAAGTTTGCTTTTCCACAAGCCCTTGCTTAACTGCCTCCATTAACGACCGTTGGACGAAGGAATGCAGCTAAAAATATATATTGTATACGTATCGATTATGTTACAAAGAGGAATCGATACGATACACTCTGCAGCTTCAAATGAATTTCGGGCAGAAAGCATTCCTTGAGCTACACTTCTTATTGCCAAAGCAGAGAAACGATAGCTAAAGCATTTTCAATTTTAAACAGAAAATGTGTTAAAATTTTTGGTATCTATTTTTTTGGCACGAACAAACTCAAAGATCAATAATTACAAACAGCGATGGAGTGCGAGAAGATTGGTGAGTGTTTCGTACAGCCCCAGATGGGAAAGAGGTTTACCAAACCATTCGCTTTCTCTATAGAAGAGGCCAGCGGCATTGCTGGTGCCCGCAAACAGGACTCGACCCTGGAGCAGGAGCTCGAGTGTGCCCTGTCCTCAAGCGAAGCGGATGACACGCCGCCGGGCATGATCATTGTGGGCAGCCGCATCAGTGCCAGAGAGGAGCTTAAGGAACCAGGCGGTGCGGTTAAGGATAGGCAAAAGGAGTTCCAGAAAGAGCAGCCAGCCTGCTCCATGTCGCTGGGCCTCAAGCCGCACGTCCAGTTCCAGCGGGTGCCACATGATAGCGTTGGCCGCCTCCTGGCCAGCACTGAGGCTGCCCTGGCAGCCGCCAATAGCTCGGCCTACGCCACGCCCAATGCCACGATGCCGGAACCGTTCTCCACGTTGCGTCACGTCGTCGACGAGGCCACGCAGTGCAACAATCTGGGCAACGATGTGTCCGCCTCCAGTGAGTCGATGACCTCGCTGGGCTCGCTCGTCTGTCGTATTTGTCATAATGCCGACAATCCCGAACAGTGAGTAGCCGCCCTTGGTCTCATATGTAGGCCTACGTATCTATTTATTTATCTATCAATTACGTATGCCAGGATACAGATAATGGGCCTGTACCCTTCAGCGAGATCCCGCTCTCATTTGGGGCATACTAAATGGATGATAATTGGGTTTCCTGACACGCAAGGGAATGCCATTTACCGAATGATATTTAATTATGCTCTCGTATGTGGCATGCCCCATTTCCGCTGTGCATTTCCAGGGTATCTTCGCTTTCATTTAATTATGTTTCAGCAGTCGCAAATTGTGCAAAAAATATTAATTGCACGACATTTAATGCACTTAGCGAGCGACCAACGAGCAAACGAGAATTTATTTTAATTATTAAAATTAACACTGCACGAAGCCTTCCCCTTGGCAGCCCTGCCTGCCAGTCTTTCTCTCCCTGTCTCTCTTGGCAGCCGCTTATCTCGTTGGTTTGCCGTCCTTTAATCCCCTGATTTTTCATTGTTGGCGCTGTTTACACAGCCCACAACCATCCACACTCCTACGCCCACTTCCTGTTCCCCTACATAGCTGATGTTCTCATTCCGATTTGTTTGCAGACTGGTGTCGCCCTGTTTGTGCAAGGGCTCGCTGACATATGTCCATGTGCACTGCCTGGAGCGCTGGATTAGCACCTCGCGCTGCACGATATGCGAACTCTGCCAGTTCCAGTACAACACGGAGCAGACTCTGCGGTAAGTGGAAGCAGCAGAAAGAAGGCATTAGGCAGCAGGCATCAGGCAGCAGGCGGCAGACAGCAGACAGCAGGAGATCAAAGACGCCCTCAGTTTACAGCTCCACAGCTTTTTAATCAGCTGATCTGCCGCTGAGTCGGCTTTTCCTTTTGCCCCC